CCCCAAAACCCCAAAACCCCAAAACCCCAAAACCCCTCTTCCTTCTAAGAAGATTGGCTCTATCTTTTTATAATTAAAAGAAGACTTAGTCTAAAATCTCTTTTTAAGCCTTTGCATAAATTAGTTTTGAGAATAAGCAGCTTTAAAGGAAAGTTATCAATTTTATCTTGACTGGACTAAGAGCTAAAGTTTGAAGTTATAATTTTGTCAAGCCATGCCATTACATGCACTTCCTCTAAAGTATATCGAGACCTTAAAATCTAAGAGAAAGGAAGAGAATTTAGAATTGAAACTTAGATTTATTACATAAAGCTAAGTTGCGGTTGTCTGACCCTCATTGTATTTTTTCTAGATTTTCTGAAATTTAATGAGCCGCTACTTTCCAAAGGGTTTTTCTTCTTCTTACCAAGCTCAGGGAATATTCTTTCCGGAATGAACTTTGTCATGAAGTTTATAGGGAAAACGGTTAACCCTATGCCGATTCATATAATCCATTGAGGCCAATATAATCCATCTCTTGCTACTTGAAAGACGTCTTGTGTAAATTGGACGATTAAAATCTGAATAATAGTGATTGTGAAAAAGATGATAATAAAAATCTTATTTTTGAGAATACCCTCAAAAACATTTATTTCATCATTAATTTTCCTTGAGCAAATCATATTAAAAATTTGCATAAACACGAAGGAGTTAAACACGATAGTGAAATGCCGGCTTGGTCCTGGATCATCATCGCTATCCCTAAGCTTCTTATAAAGGTCATCTCCTCCCCAGGAATATGCTCTACCAGGATACACGTAATCTCCATTTCTGTTAGGAGTATATCCTGATTCTTCAGGAATGAAGAATTCTCCAGCAAAGACGACGATAAAGATTACTATTGACTGATATAGTCCCATGATTGACAAATGCTTTACCATTTTGTGAGAAATGATATATTCATCTCTTCCATGAGGAGGTCTTTCTAGAAGTTCAGGAATAGGCTCCTCAGTAGCTTCTGCAAGAGAACCTAGTGAATCCATGATTAAATTAACCCAAAGCAATTGAATAGGCTGCAGTGGAGACTCTCTCAAAACACAACTTCCAACAAATGATGTTGACAAAGCAACAATATTTACAGAGAGCTGGAACTGGAGGAATCTTCTGATATTATCAAAAATATTTCTACCCCACATTCATGCCTTGACAATCGATGCAAAATTATCATCAAGAAGGATAATATCAGCAGCATGCTTAGCAACATCAGTTCCTGTGATTCCCATAGCAAAACCAACATCTGCCTTCTTCAGAGCAGGGGCATCATTAGTTCCATCACCGGTGACTGCAACAACATCTCCTAATTCCCTTAATCCAGTGACTAATAAGTACTTATCTTCTGGGCGTGATCTTGCCAACACTTCTAACTCTCCATAAATTTTAATAAACTCATCCTTATTCTTCACTACTTCTTGAACTTTCTTCGTTGGGCAATCACATGGAGGAGCTTCAGATCAATTCTTACAAATAAGACCACCGACTCTCTTGTAAAATTCAGGACCTTCCAACACTGAATCACCAGAAGGTTTGTCTGTGGATATTATTCCACACTCTTTAGCAATAGCCATTGCAGTTGTCTTGTTATCTCCAGTTACCATTCTTACTTTTATTCCAGCTTCCTGACAAATCTCTACTGCTTTAGGAACCTCAGGTCTTATAATATCTCTGATTCCAAGGATAGCAATTCAAATTAAGTCTCCAGTCTCGACTAATTTATTCACTTTATCTGGTGCATCATCTTCATGAGTTATTCCCCCTTCGTTTGGCCTCAGATCTTTGTAAGCAAGTCAAATTGTTCTCAATGCTTTCTTTGCGAATTCTTCAATTACATTTTCATTAATGTATTCTGTCATGTCTTCATCTAGTGGTTCCAAACCTCCTTCTTCATTTATGTACTGATTACAAGATCTTAAAATAATTTCAGCAGCTCCTTTGATGTGAAGTCTTTTGTCATATCCATACTTATTGTCAGTAATCTTAGTTAATATAGTGCTCATCTTCTTTCTCTTTGATGTGAATTGGAATCTAACCAAAGGATCTTGACAATGGATATCTCTCATAGATTGATAATCTCATTCAAATTTATCAAGCATCTGTAACATTGCCTTTTCAGTGGCATTTGCAGATTCAGAAGTTCCACTAGTGTTTCAGGCTCATCCTTCTAAGAATAGTTTTGCTGCCTTCTCATTATTAATGACATCTGCCATCACATAAGTGAGTTTTTCAGACTCAAGTTCTATTGTTTCTCCTTGCCAAATCTCTTTAACATTCATTATATTTTTAGTCAGCGTCCCGGTTTTATCTGAACAAATATTGTTAGCTCCTCCCATAATTTCACAACTCGATAATCTTTTCACAAAGTTCTTGTCTTTCAGCATCTTTTTGACTGAGTAAGCAAGTGCAATCATTACCGCAAGAGGGAGACCTTCTGGGACAGCCACGACTACAATGGTGACAGCAACAAGTATATAATCAAACCATTCGCTAAAATAATCACCAATATCCTCTGATTTGAATCCTTCAATGCCTTGTTCAATAAAGAACCTTCCAAAAAGTACGATTAAAGTGATGGCTGCAGCTATCATTCCAATATATCCAATATCAGTTGCAATTGCGGTCAATTTCTCTTGTAAAGGAGTGGTTTCAATCTCCTGCCCTAGTTTTTCATATATTTTCCCAACGCATGACTTTTTACCAACAACGATAACCATAAACCAACCTTCCCCTGTTTGGATTTCGGTGCCAGATAAGAGGACTGGGGAAGGAATATCATGGTTTGTTCTTTCCATATTTTCAGTAACTTTCTCTTCTTCTAACTTTTCGTGCAGTCTCACTTCTCATTGCTTTATAGTTTCTTTCTTCAATTCGATACTTTCTCCTGTCATTGCAGATTCATCAGTTGTTACCCCAGTTCCTCTTACAAGCAGAGAGTCTCAAGGAATGCTCATCCCTGGTTTAATTTGGATGATATCCCCTGCAAGAATTTCATTAAAGTTAATCTCCTTCTCTTCTCCTTTTCTTAATGCTATTATATTATTTTGGGAATCGTTGTAGGCATTTAACTCTAAAAATTGTTTTTCCTTTTGGTAATCATTCCAAGCAGTTACAGTAGTGACTACAAGAACAGCTATTAAAATAGCTCCTCCTTCGACCCAGGCAATGCTTCTTTCATCATCTTCCGCAATAATCATTGAGATTATAATTGAAATAAATGCTGAGACTATCAGTATCTTCAGCATTAGGTCATTCATAGCTTCAATAAACAGCTTTCAAAACCCAGTTCGCTTTGGTGGGTCTTTATTTATTCGTTCCAAATTCAACTTCTCTGAACTCTAAATCAGATTCATTTAAGCCTTTCTCTACAGAAGTTCATAACTTTTGTGCGAGACTTTCAATCCCCTCATGATTTGTTCTGATTATCTGTATATCTTCATCAAACTGCCTATTCTGATATGAGTCAACAATCTCTATGAGTATAAACACCAGCCTTACCAATGAGTTCATCTAGATCGACTGCGTAATCTCCATTCAATCTCCTTGTCTCTAACTCCGGCTTAGCCATTAAGGTTAAAATATATTTTATTTCAATTTGAATTCACTATTTAGGGGTTTTGGGGTTTTGGGGTTTTGGGGTTTTGGGG